TGAGAGGTTGGGGTGATTTCGGAAGGTAAAAGAGGGTGAGGCAAAAAAGGAGAAGAGTAAGAGAGATGAAACAGCTCTTTAATCAGCGAGGGGCTGTGTGGAGGCGGGCCGAGGTGTCTACTGTAATCCGATACACGCGCACACGCGACGTGCACGCACACCGTGACAGGGGACTGAGTGAGCAGTCGTGCTCGCTGCCACAAACCCGGCGGAGATCGGAGGGGAAGGAGCACGCTGTCGGAGCTGCCGGGGGAGAGATTAAGAGACAGAGAGAGAGACACAGACTGGGCATTAAGGAGAGCGAGAGAGAGGAACAACAGAAAAAGCCAGTTTCAGTGAAGAAACGCACAGTTTGTAGGAGGAGAGCGGAGAGACTGCACGTTTCTCTCGTTTGGTTTTACGCACGCACTCCCGAGCTGCCTCCTCCTGGAGATCTTGGGTTTTCTTTTGCGCCAGAGCGGACTGTTATCAAGACAGAATAAAAGGAGGGTACAAATGGAGAAAAGATTTTTTTCTTTCTTAAACACATGTACTCTGTCCAAGTAAATGCACCAGTTGAAAGTCGGGCAGTACAAAACATTTTGGAATATTTTATTGAACCGAAGGGGAAAGGCCCGCGTCACTTTTCCGATTTTGTCAGACTTAATAGTAGATGTTTTTGGTTGTTTTGGTGGTTTCAGCCATTGATTTCTACTTTATTTGAAACTTATGATTTTGCCTGTCACCCGTGTTGACGAGGTCTATATTCCCATGCGCGCTTTGATTAACAGAGGGACACAGTCCTGCCGATTGTGCGCACCGAAATGGATTTCGCGGCTTTTAAAATGTGTTTTGAGTGAAACCTGCGTTGATTTCTGATCAGTATGCGCTGATCAAAAGCAGTGTCACACATTGACACAACCCATGCAAACTGTTTTTTATTCAGCTTGATATTGTCGGAGAGCCCAATGAAGGCAGCTCTGCATTAGTAGTGGGTCTTGGTTACGAGTCGTGTTGCGCTTGAGAGGAACAGAAACCTCCCAGAAGAAAAGGAGACTGGACTGCACCTTTCTCAAATAAAGTGAATAAAAGAGGGGAGAAGAGCTGATTTTTCTCCACAGAAGATGGATTTATATATATGGTTATGTGGATGTTTACTGGCTCTTCTGTTGCCTCCAGCGGTCAAAGCAGAAGAAGGAGGTAAGTTTGATAGTTTTGTTGCCCCTTGAAATCCATGTGTTACGCGCAGGTGGAAATTAAACCTCTTTTTGAGAGAAAACATTTCTCCTATCCACAAGCCAAACATGGAGTCTGTAAAACACACCAGAGATTGTTGTTTAGTAGGGAAAAAACGTGTTTTCCCCAAAATGCGAAGTGAATTAACAAATTGTTTTGGGGAAACCACCATTACGCATTTTGTGACTATACAGGCCAGAGGTTACCTCAGTTTTCACGTCCTTTGAAATAATGCGCTGATACAAATAGTGATGAGGGACACTGATGACTTCAGTTTTAGAACAATTAATGGGGAGAGTCCTGCTACTGGATGTTCTGTGATCTTATAACTCTGCATGGCCCATCTCGTTCGGTCGGCGTTAACACCGAAAACTGAATAAACAACTTGCAGGCTAATGACTGTGCACAAACATAAAACCAGTTGCGTTTTCCTCTAACAAATAAGTGTCCTTAAAGATATTTATTTGCGTTAGGGTTGTTGCTTTGTGTTGACTCTTTCTCTGCGCGGACAATTCATCAAGGCGATTTTACAAACATGTCGTTACCACCCGCAACCATTTCATCGTCCCACTCCACTTCTGGTTTCACTCTGTCCTATAATAATTAAGGGATGTTGGGATGTGGGCGTGATCCCAACATTGATTTTGTCTTCTTGAAAGGATCTCAACCATATGCTGTGGATTTTAATCTGCAGCCTAATCAATGACTGTCAAGGGGAGAGCTAATGAAAAATCACTGTAGCCTACTGTTCCTATATAATCTACCTATCGGGGCTAATATCACCGTCAGTTCTCTGTGAGACAGTAACTCAACAATGACCTCACGTTTTATCTCATAACGTGTCACTACGGTGCAGTCTTGTAAGATTCCTTGAAAGAGTTTTTTCCTAAAATGCTGGCAGCTACATGCATTTCAAAACTTTGCCAGGACAGAGCTATCCGCTGAAATGCTGCTGTTTGGTACGAGGAGAGAGACGGAGTGACTGCGTCCGTCTGCCGGAGGGCAGGACTGGCGCTGTTCTGATTCCATTCCGCTCCCAACTGCCAAGGCTGCGGAGGTCTGTCAGTCCCCTAGTAGCCTACATGTGAGCGATGGGTTTGCTGCTCCACCCATCACCACTTTACTTCTGTATACAGGCGATCAAAGCCGTGATGTGAGAAAAGCTATAAGCTCCGCGCTGTACTCCATTAGATGTGACAATCTTTACGCACAGGGAATAGAACTCTTTATTTTTATGGAGTGAGTTTCTCTGGTACACAAAGAAGCCATTTAGTCTGTTTGGTCAAACATACCGCTGTGACTCCAGACCAAAACATCAGTGCTTAAATTGGCCGTTACGCTGCTACAGGTGTGCGTTTGGGGGCCAACTTGAAGCGTCTCAGCCAATGAGAACCAGTGCTGGTTGTTTTTAAGATGGATTCGCTTTATGAAAGGAGAGAATGAAATCCGTGACATTTTACACTGTCTTTCATAATTTCAGAAGCAAAAAAATGTATCTTCAGTTTTCACAGACTGAAGATCTAAAACATGAGGGGGGTGAAAAATTTTCCTCACAATCAGATACACACTGTTTCTAATGGTTTCTCATAACTGTTTATGCAAAAGAGACTGAGAAGATGGCAGAATATTTTTTATAATCTCGCCTTAAGGCCCTCTTTCTGCTTTCCGATACATTTGTATTTGTGTGTGTGTACACAAGTTGGAAAAAAAGAGGAAAAAGGCAGCTGTGGAGAAGTTGGCTGCATTCTAGGTTTTTATTGATTTAGAGCTTTTTCAGGAGGTTAGCAGGGGCTTTTGCAGATCTCATGACTTGGATCAAGTGGCTTGTCTGCCAAATGTTGTTTTGGAGAAACACAGTGAACGGAGAGCACACTCCAAGCATTCTTTACATCACATTTCACTTCACTTGTGAGAAGATATGTGCTATGAAACAAACTGCTGTGTGTGGGTATTTCTGCTGTGTATTCACTGAAATTGTCAGTCAGTTTATAGGCCACTATGAACAGCCAGCTTGGGTGATGCCACCTATACATGTTTGCTGACACAGAATGTAAAACTTAGAGCATTTCTGAGATCGTTCTTTCCAGACCAACAGCAGCTGGGCAACAGCTTACATCAACCAGCACTGAAACAAGAAGCATCTGATGAGATTCTTATTAGAGCAGAACATTTTCTTATACCATTGGTCATCGTTTTGTAAACCATGACATTATTTATTTGGTATTCAGTAATTTATTTTAATTTATTTTTTGACAACAGATTTTGAGTGTCTGACAATAGATAAGATGAGCCTTACATTTTCAGGGCACTCCCTTGAGAGCTCCCCTACTGTACACTGAGAACTACAGGAACACACATGCTCAGCAGTAGGCGATGCAAGATGAACCTTCCTCAGCAGTAAACTTTTACAGATGCCTCAGCTGTGCTGTCTCCGGAGAGATGAGCAAGGGAAGTATAGTGACTTAGAAGTGCATGTATATAGTATATAGAGAGAGAAGCAGGAAGGATAGGAGTACAGAGGGAGGAAGCAACAGAGACAGAAACAGGCAGAACAAAGCTGCAAAAATAAGTGAATGAGACGGAAGAATGATTTTCAGTCCCGCTGTTTGATCCTGTTTCTTCATTCTGTTTGATCACAGCTGTGCCTCGAAGGGAGATAAACGGACATAATTGGCCACTCAAGACCAGCTGTCTACCTCTATAGTGTTTCTGCTGAAATATGCTGGATGTTGAAACAGGCTCACTGTGACACAGAGTGTAGGAAGTGAGCTCACAGTGGGGTGAAATTGTCCACAGGTATGCAAAGTAGTGGCTTTTACCGATCTGATTTCATTAGGGAGACAAGTGTCTTCTTCACTTTTTGAAGATTGTCACTGACCTAGAGCAAGATAAGTTAGCATATTTAGCTTTCACTAACTCTGCAAATGATGTAATTTCTATGTATGTGCTTTAATGCATGAGCCAAAGCAGGGAGTATCATGTCTGCTCATACTTTTAGTCTTAATATGCTGGGTCACTGTGCTGAAGAGTCAAAAGGCAACTCTACTGTATGTACACTGTGTATTCTAAGTGTGACTGAGCTTCTTAATGCATTTGTTATTTTCTAGCCTCAAGCTTTAGCCCTACAGCATGCCCATGATAACCAGCTGCTGTGGGAATCAGTCTGTAAGAATCAAATCTTACATTGGTGTGGGCTGTAATGCTTTGTCAGCTTCCGTTGGCCATCTGTCAGAAACGGCGCGCGATGCTGCCGAAAAGTGTTTAGTGAACTCAATTAAAAGGCCAGACGAGGAAGTGTTGAACAAAACCGTCTCTTTAATAAGAGAACTAAAACTAAACAAAACCATACAAGAAAAGATGAAACACAAAACTCACGGTCGGTATCAGTCCCAGGTCAGAGCCAGCAAACACATACATCCAGGGGAATCCAAAGTTCATTGTCCAAAAGAGAAAGTCTGATAATCATACACCGTGGCAGTCTGTAACAAGAGGGCGAGGCAGAATAGAATAGTCTGAGGTAACAGTCCGGGATCAGAACCACAAAATACCAAAACCGAAGAAAATGCTGGAAAGTCAGAGCTGGGGTCTAGAACAATCTGACAGCGTCCTGGTGGGAGGACGCTGCCTAAATAGAGGTGAAACAATAACGAAACAGGTGAAACCAATGTGAGTGATGAAGAACGTAAAAAAGACCGAAACTAAGGTGAAACAAAAACAGGAAGTAAAGTCAAAATAACAGCCGGACAGGAAGCAGCGGAACCGAATCATGACACCATCAACAAAACAAACCATCCATGTTATTTGTTCACACAAAGGGGTTAATGAATTGATTCACAGCCATTCTGTGTAAGTACTCTGAAATGATAAGTTATTAGCTGTAACTGTATTTGTCCCTTTCACTGTAATTTAGTGTTACTCTGGATAATTACTCACTTAATATGAAGATATGAAGATTGGCAAGCATCCTTTAGAAAGGCCACAAATACACCAGTGTATTTGTGTGGCACGTCAAATAACAGCATAAGAAAGAGTAAAAGAATGAACGCTGTAAATTAGCAGCAAAATGTATTGCAGCAGAGTATAAAGTGAAAGGACAATTAGTGACTCTGAAATCAGCTCGTCTGTTCATGCTTTTACCACATTATCTTGTCATTTTCTCTGATTGTTTTTATCCCCAGAGTTATTCTTTATTACTGCTGCATTGTCAGATGCATTAAATGATTTGTTAATACTCACGACGTGAAATTATAATGTAAAACTCATTTGTGATGCTTTACCAACACGACTTCATCCCAGTAAAGCAGACTGAAACAATAGGGCAATAAAAACAGAAAGAGTGAGCAGAGATGGAGAGCAAGGAGTAAGGATTTGGATTTGGAGTAGCATTTGGGAGTGTAATGGAGATGGAGCAACAGAGCAAGAGAAAGCAAGAGAGGCATAATTGTGAAGTAAGAGGAAAGCGGCAGCGCGTGAAGCAGTAGCTGAGTGAGGCCACCTGCAGTAAACTAACTCAGATATATTCCTCTCTGCTGTCAAGCACAAGAGTCTTTCTGGCCAAGGTAAAGCACATTATTAATATATACTCTAGTTAGAATATAGATTAACAGTTTAGGTTTCTATTTAATCATAGTCATGACAACAAAATGACAAACGGGTGCTCTGACTGCAGTTTTATGGGCAAATCTAAAACAGTTCCTCACAGAAGCCTAAACTGTTTTTAGAAATAGTAGTCAACTCTAATTAAATCATTTCAAGCAGTCCCCATACTGTGATGGTTGTCTAAATCTTTGTACTGTATGTGACTGTGATGCTAATCTCTGGCAGGTGACGCTTTGCTGGAGACTTTCTTCAAAACTGATTTCATTTTAATTATCTCTCAGGTAGCAGGTGTATTCCACCAGGTTTCAGGATTAAAGGTTATCCTTGTTTACTTAGAGATTCAGGCAGGTGCTGTGTTTTTCTTT